ATTTTTTTGGGGAGAAACCAAGGTGGCCTTCTGCCACAGGAATGCTCTTGGGGAGATCAAAAAGGGGGAAATAGTTTCCTGCTATAAAGAAAAGAGACATTTTGGAGAACTGCTGGGGCAATGTCCTGCAAGGTGGTGGCATCTGCAGCATTGACAAGGATTCCTAGGAGCATGTCAACTGAGGCGGGACAAATCCAGCGTAAGGGAGAGTAAGTGGTAGGGGAGAGTCCTGATTATTGCTGCTGATCTTAATTGGTCTTCGTTCCCGAGATCCTCAGCCCTGGGAGCATCAGCTCTGTCTGCACACCCTGGAAAAATCTGTCAGTATTAAAAATGCAAGCAGAACCCATTTGAGGCAGAGAGCAGGCATGGTTTTGGACCACCCTAGGTTCAGAAATGGAGAGGGCCACAAAGAGTCAGGGAAACAAAACAAAGAGGTAGTGAAAGATGAAGCTTGACTATTCACTTTAATAACCGGCTGAACTCCACTTTGCCAGAGGGATTCCAGCCTGGAGACTCTTACTGCCTTCCTTCCAGCGGCATGATTCATTATATTGTTTACCCAGTGCTCCAAGAACTGCGGAGGGGGACTGCGGGTCCGGGACGTGCATTGCATCGACACCCGAGATCAGAGGATGTTGAGGCCTTTCCACTGTCAGGCTGTTCTCTACAAGCCACCCGTGCAGGCTCCATGTCAAACCAAGCCTTGTCTGGACTGGTACACATCCTCCTGGAGAGAGGTGAGGGGGGCTGTCCAGGGTGGGAGGGTGCATACATGCGCATTTAATGCGCTAAATTACTGCACAGTATGGGCGCACATCTACACGTGTGTGCCTGTACAGGACAGTATATATAGTGACTTACGCCAACTTGGATGTAAATTTACACCTGATTAGTTACTATGCAGTAATTCACTTATAGGCACCTTACTGCACAGTAACACTATGTGTGGACTGACTTGGGACTAACTTTGGTCCCAAATCAGTCCACACACAGTGTTAATGCACCTTAATGCCTGCACATGTAGATGCCGTGATATTCCAGCTTTCTGCGCAGTAACTTACTGCACAGTAAATTTAAGCTGGAATGCACATGTAGACATGCCCAATGTGTCCTCATAGCAGGGTTGAGTCAAACTCTGCTGGAATCTAGAAGGTCCTGATCCAGGACTTCGTTCCAGACCCATCTATAAGATGCCAACATGGAGACGCACTGACCAAGTTCTCTTCTATGTGCTTGAACAATGGCTTGCAGTAATGATGATGATGAATTAAGTCCAAGGGAAGTGGTGCTGGCTCCTACCCTGGGGGTCTTTAAGAGGAGGCTTGATGCCTACCTAGCTGGGATCATTTGAGCCCAGTTTTTTCTTCTGCCCAGGCAGGGGGTCAGACTTGAAGATCTACAAGGTCCCTTCTGACCCCACTTCTATGATAAGTCTTTTTATTGTTCTTTCATAAGCGGTAGAATGCAAAGCTACCAGCGACAATGCAAACAGGGTGAATCTGGGACATACTGTGGCTGCCAGAGTGGAAATCCTCATCAGCAGCTGAGGCAGTTTTCAGCTGAAGGGTCAGTCATCTCAGAAGACTCAGAAATCCACTGCTTTGTTTTTAAACCTTGTTCCCAAATAGACCTGATGGCATTTAAATGACAGTCACCTCCCCTCCCCCATATTTTTCTTCATGCAATGAAGGTATCCCAGAATGCATCCTTTGGTGACATAGCTGATGGATGGATTACAAGGGGACTTCTGGAATTCGTGAAGCCATATAACGATGCCACCGGGGGTGTCTTTATAGTCAGAGGATTGCATAGGGGGAGAAAAGATTCAAGCTGTCAGACAAGCCTGTTTCTGCCTTGAATTCTCCACTCCTCCCTTCCAGATCAGGGCACATTCACCACGGCAGCCCTGCTTTCATAACCCACGGTGCCATTCAATTAGCCCATTACATTTCTTTCTTTTTTGCCATCAGCTTTAAAAATGACCCGTTGGCTGAAAAAGAGAAGCCAGGGGCCCCAGAATCCATCATTTACTCGGCAGTCGTGCCATCAAATACCTTCCAAATTTAGATCAGCTTGTCAGGAGACACCCCATTCATTTTCTTCACTGCACAGTCAGTAAATACATTTTTGTCTGCTTTGTGATGTGCTGTTTTACACCAGTTGTTATTCTTCATCTCCTCCTCCGGAGACACAGCTAGCTGGCATTCTGGCTTTGCTTAGCCATGCAGCACAGAGTATAATGGCTGCTATTTAAAAGTGCCTAACAGGCTGGGGCCAGAAGCCCTGCCTTCGCTTCTGGAGCTCTCCTTGAGAAGAAGTCAGTGGGAGGAGGATTGCCTGAGCTCAGCTGTGGGCAGAATTTGACCCTCTAAGTATCTGCAGCGTAGAGAGCAGGCCTGTCTCCAAACTGAGACCTCCTGTCTTCTGATGAGCTGATGGGGCCAACTGTGATCCAGTTTAGCTGGAGTGAAACCACCCACTACCCACAGTTGGATACTTAA